TAATTAAATATTTGAGTAGACTAAGAATCCTCCAGAAGACCTACTGACTTCTTGGCATAAGCTGTTTTAAGATAAATATGGAACTACTAAACATTATTCTATTTTGAAAAAATCAAGCAGCAAAGATTTCAAGTAAAGTCTGAATGCATTTCAATCTCATCAATGATTTAGAAAATATTTAGCAACTTTAGAATTGGGAAAAAAACACCACCTCATCATCATCATCTGAGAGTTCTTGTCCTTCTTCACTAAGGCTATAGTCTTCTGAATCCAAGGACTCAACTTCAAATTCCACACTGAACTGATCTGACCCAGAATCCTGATCCAACCAATCACCTGAACGTTCACTTACACCAGCATCAAGATCCTAAAATCAGAAGAAACAAAAATCTGACTCAATATATATTAACCACGGATCTTTAATAGCTTCCCAACTCTCATCTACACATGTACTTCCTCCTCAGAGCCATCTTGCACACTGACACTAGATTAAGATTCTGGGGTATTACATTTCCCCTGTTCAAAACTATATTACATAAAGGAAAAATGGTGAAATGCATTTGGCATTCAAGTACATATAGTATGACTGAATTAACATTTCATCTTATCTCTAAATAAATACTCATGCCTCTCCACTAAACATAAACAACCAGCCAAATCTAGAATGGTCTCCTATATCAAACTTCACAGTTTAATTTCCACTTTTCCACTCTACTGGAATAATTTGACATTTTTAAGTCCTCTGCACCCTTTTAACAAAGCCTTTGTCCTTAACCATAACTAAAAGAGCTTTCCCAACTTTAAATATCTTTTTGACATTACTGAGTATATATTTTCAGCACTAATAATGTAAAACATAATTTTGCATGTGTATTTGTTATCTAAATATACACTATATCCTGATGGAGACTACTAGTAGCTACAATATGCACAATAATTATAAGACTTAAGCTTTTTAAAGAACAGAGAGTAAATTCCTTGAACAAACTTTCAATATTTTTCCTTTTAAAATTCTGTATCTGTTTATGTAATTTCTCATTTTAGACTTTGCTGTCAGTGGCTAAGGGGAGACATGTACAAAAGTAGAAGTCGAGAACTAGAAAAAGTACTCGGTTTAGAAGTCAGCATATACATTCTAGATTTGCCACTAAGTGACTATTTAACCTTGAATATTTAACCTGTAAAAGCTAAATATACATAACTATGAAAGAAGTATAGATTAAATAGTATCTAATAGCTCCAGTTTTTACAAAAAAAAATACATATTACTTTATATACACCCAGATCAAAAGACTTGTACAGTGGTGTTAGGAAAGCAGTAGTAACAGCAACCACTTAAGTTAAAGCAATTCTAATTTCTATTAAGGGCTCAATTTCTAAGGCTGAAATCACAGGCAAACTAGAATAACATCTCTAAAATAGTAAACTAATAAAGTGAATACCTCAGGCCCTCCCTGGTGGCTCAGGGGCTTAAAGTGTAGCACTATGAAGCTTTACCCCAGTTCTTATATACATAAATAAATACATCTTTTTCCAAAAAAAAAAAAAAAGAGGATACCTCAATGAACTAACTTCTCATGTACAAATTTTGAATGAGGTAAATCCCTAGGAAAGTTAAGTTGCAGAAAAGCATCTTCTGTAGTATACTACATGCCTATACTGGTTTTACTGAACACCTCCATGCCCAATTGGTAACATGTCATGTACAGTTGCTCCTGCCTAACAGTAGAAATAAAAAAATTTATTTCAAACCCAAATCTTGGAGTTCAGTAGTTACAACAGAAACTTTACGGTATGCATAGCCAAAACAGTTACTATCCAGTTCTTCACAAATACAGCTTGCCCACTCTAATGGTATGATAAAGAAAGTTATAAAGCTGTTTTTTTAATAAAATTAACCTCTGGTGGTGCAAGGGGTTAGAGGATAGCACTATGAAGCTGTCCATAGCCACTGCAGCATGAGTTCAATACCCAGACAGGGAGGTGACCCACATGGCACAGCAGACCCTCCTGTCTCTCCTGTTGCTCCCCTCAGCAGTGGATTTCAGTCGATCTGCCTGTTATGCTCCCCACTCTGTCTCTGCTGAATCTTCTAACCACCCCCCCCCCAACCTCTGGCCTGTATCCCAGCTTTTGTATACATAAATAAATAAGTCTTTTTAAAAATTAGCTCAAGTTCAAGAAAGAATGATGCAGGAATTATTTTAAAAGCAGGCTTGATTTGGTAAGACCTCAAATTTTGAAGGAAAGAAAATAACAACAACCCTTTTTTCTCCTGAACTCCCATTGTGACAAGTCATTTATAGGTTCTTAAATTTATTTCAAACCCAAATCTTGTTTTCCCACTTGACATCAAGCGCCCTCCTGCAAACAGGTTTCCACCTGAGATAAACGTTCTAGTATCAAGCCCAGCACTTAGTTTTCCACTTTATTAAAACCCAAAAGAAAAGAAAGATAGCAAGTGCACTTCCCTCTATCTTCTCAAACATGTGATGTGGACATCAACTGATGACCACAGCATACTTTTATGAGATCAGCTAAAATGATGTGGGGAAAAAATTGGCCCTACCGCAAATTTTCAGATTTCTAAAAAAATTTATATACTTGGAACCTCCCTGGTGACGCAGCAGGTTAAAGCATAGCTAAGAAGCTAAAGTCACTTCAGCATGAGTTTGGTCCCTGCCCTGGAGGTAACCACATGATGCAGCAGACCTCTCCTGACCCACCTGCTGTTCCCCTCAGCAGTGTACTTGGTCAGTCGGCCTGTTCTGCTCCCCACTCTGTCTCTGGTAAATATTCTCACTGCCCCTGCACCTCCGGCCTGTACCCTAATTCTGTATGCATAAATAAATAAATCTTTAAAAAAAATTTTATAATACTTTTTACTTTGTTGCTCATTCTTCTCTCAGGTGTAACCTCCATAAAATTACCACCACCAAGACACCCATGAACTGTTACCATATTTGGTCTCTTGTACTCTTCCCATGTTTTGATGCCTCTCTCTCCTACTCCTCAATGGAATGTCTTCAATTTATAGTTTACATGCTATTTTTGTCTCTTTTTCCTGATCCCTTGTTTGAAAAACAGATAATTTTAAAGACAGGATTTTTAGAAGACAGTACAGGACAAACAAAAAAAATCACCCTCTATGTTCCTTTGACAAAGGTAGTTTCCCAGGAGGTAGAAACCAAGAACGAAGATTTTAAATATCATCCAGCTAGAATTCTGAAACAACTTTAACAAAAGACTATGTTTAATGGTAAATTTTATCTAAACCACCTGTAAGCAATTTCCAAGCATAAAATCTGAATATACATCAAGTTTAAAATGGAGTCAAATTTCAGATCATTTATATTTGCTCTTAAGAACCTATATCTTTACAACACTAATTTTTATTTATTAATAGTTGATCTGTCTCTCCTTGATGACTGTACTGTCCCTACCTTGGCTACCACCTTTTACTAGTGCTAAAAGGAGCCTGACAAAAGCAATTATCTACTGTAAATATTCTTGCTCTCAGAGGAACTCACCAAGCCATCTAGTGGTTTACACAAGTAACAGCTGTACTAAACACTAACCCTAGAGGGGACATCTGTCCTCTATCCGTAAAATCACTGCTTTGGAAGAAAAATGTACTATCACAATTGGTTCAGCGCCACATACCTTCTATATAACTACAAAACTATATAAAGTGATCCCTAATATCCAGAATGATCCTGAGACACTGAAGTCATCACAAATAGGAATCCAATTTTAAAGAAAAATGTTTAGTGGCAAGAAAATACTCCATGTATCAAACATTTGTGTGAACACCAATGTCTACCAAACTTCTTTCAGTGACATCTTAAGAATTTTACTCCTGGCTAATACTTTGAATTTTGTATCAATGGTCAAAAAGTACTGACACTCTCTCATCTGTACAATTGGTAAGACTTTCCCCTCATATCTACACCTATATGTGAAGTTCATGTAGTGCTGATGGTTATAATGAAGAAAAAAAAAAGGTATTTTTTACTTTAAATATTCAAGATAAATTTGCCTTAGAATTCTAGGGTACCTGAGTCAGTATTAATTTCTGTGTAAAAAGTAAAATGTTTAACTTCTCAGACTACTATAAATTCCAGTTTATTTTAATTTACTGCTGGTGCAATGGTCCAAAGATTCTCCACTATGTAGCACAGTGACATTAGTAACTACTAACATTGTTAAAAAATATTTTCTGGTGGCACAACAGGTTAAAGTGCAGCACTGTGATACTAACCATAGCTGCTTCAGCACAAATTCGATCCCCTCCCAGGGAGGTGACCCACATGGCGCGGCAGACTTCTGCTGTCCTGCCCATCACTCCCTTCAGCAAGGTACTGTCGATCTGCCTGTTCTGCTCTCCACTCTGTCTCTGGCAAATCTTCTCAACCCCACACCTCTGGCCTGTACCCCAGTTAATTATGAATAAATAAATAAATCTTTTCCAAAAAGTTTTTTTATGAATAAATTTTCAAAAAATTTTTTTTCCGGCCCTCCCTGGTGGTGCAGCAGGTTAAAGCACAACACTGAGAGGCCCTCCCTGGTGGCGCAGCGGGTTAAAGCGCAGCACTGAGAATCTGAAGCCACTTCCGCATGAGTTCGATTCCCGCCTGCCGCCTGCCCCGGAGGAGACCACATGGCGAGCCAGACCTCTCCTGGCCCGCCCGCTGCTCCCCTCAGCAGTGTACTTCGTCAGTCTGCCTGTTCTGCTCCCCACTCTGTCTCTGGTGAAGCCTCTCGCCGCCCCTGAGCCTCTGGCCTGTACCCCAGTTCTGTATGAATAAATAAATAAATCTTAAAAAAAAAAAAAAAAAAAAAAAAAGCACAACACTGAGAAACTAAAGCCACTTCCGCATGAATTCGATTACCACCTGCCCTGGAGGTGACCACAGAGCACGGCAGACCTCTCCTGACCTGCCCACTGCTCCCCTCAGCAGTGTACTTTGTAGATCTGCCTGTTCTGCTCCCCACTGTGTCTCTGGTGAAGCCTCTCGCTGCCCCTGAGCCTCTGGCCTGTATCCCAGTTCTGTATGAACAAATAAATAAATCTTTAAAAAAAATTTTTTCCCCTTAGGGTCCCCTGGTGGCACAGGGAGTAAGTCTTAGTGCTATTAAGTTATCACCAGCCACTACAGCATAAGTTCTATCCCAGGTCAGGGAGTTGACATGCAAAGCACAGCAGACCTTTCCTGCTACTCCCCTCTATAGTGTATTTCAGTAGATCTGCTGTTCTGCTCCATACTCTGTATCTAGTGAATCCTCTAACCCTCCTACTTCTGGCCTACACCCTGGTTCTTATATGCATAAGTAAATCTTTTTTTCCCAAAACAGTGCCCAATGCAACTCCAATGTTTTTACCCTTCTCTTTAAGCCTGAGACAGGGAGTGGGGAATATCTGTATTATTTGCAAGAAAAATGGACCATTTGTGTGTATTAGCAATCATGAATCACATATGCTCATTCTACTTGAATGTTCATTAGGACCGCCAAAAACAGATTTGTAAAATAGAGTATTGTTTTATTTAAAACAAGATTACCGGATTTGATGGAGTTCCTGTTGATTCACTGCTACTGCTTCTTTCACAACATATCTCTCTTATAACACACAGAGCAAGACTTTCATCAAAAGAAAGGGAAATACTATCAGATTTGTGGCGTTTTCTTTGTCGTTCACCAGGTAATTCATCTGAATTTTCTTCTGGATATGTAAGGAAAACAGGTTGATTACATTGCTATTTTATGATTTACTTTAAAATTAAACTGTCTGGAGTTTCTATTTGTACTACAATTTAATTTTAATGAAATTAAACAGAAAAATACTGAACTAGTTTCAAAAGTTAGCACCATGTTAATGAAATTAAACAGAAAAATACTGAACTAGTTTCAAAAGTTAGCACCGTTTAAAATTTGTCCAACTGAATGTTAGAGAAGATCACTGTAGTTCTTCTAAGGTTTTTAAAATTGTAGAACTTCATCTCTATTAAGTCACAATTTCCTCAGTACCCGGTTTTCAACAGAAACCCAAACCACTGAAAACAGTCTTCCCCCCACCTCCAAATACATTATTTCTGACTTAAAAGTTAGAATGTTACCAAATCTGTCAGGAAGATGGGAGGCTTATCTTATATCAGATATAACAATATATTTTAACGGGATTACAGAATACAAAAAACAGAACCATTCAAGCACTTTTAAAAGATTATTCTTATAATACTGCAGGGTGTGGTACTTAAAAAGTGATTTGACACTACAAAGTCTTCAAGGAAAAGACTGTTAATTAAATTTGTAAGACAGACAAAATACCATAAAGGCAAATGTCAGAGTAGCAGTAAATAGCTACAATATATGTAGTAAAAACGGTTAATATCTATTTTATACAAAGTCTTCCTACTCAAGTAAAAAAATAAAAAATCACACTTGAGTGGAAAAAATTTCAAAGATATGAAAAGCTAATTCATTAAATAGAAATGATTAGCAGCATATGAAAAAAGTTCCACACCTCCTAGTGATCAAATAATCCTATACTTAATATCGATACATATTATCTCTGGATTTCTGACTAATATCCCAAAGACAGATTCCTAGAAGTGGTGTTACTAGGATAACAGTAGAAATTCCAGCTCTGTTTAGAATTCATAAAGGTTAACAATTCATTCCAATCAATTAAGTGCCAACAAACAGGTTAGCAAGAATGAGTTAAAAAAAATTATCTTTGCAGGCCCTCCCTAGTGGTGCAGCAGCTAAAGCCACTTCAGCATGAGTTCCATCCCCACGCTGGAGGTGACCCACATGGCATGGCAGAATTCTCCTGACTGGCCCTCTGCTCCCCTCACCAATGCACTTCGTGGATCTGCCTGTTCTGCTCCCCACTCTATCTCTGGTGATTCCTCTCACAACCCCTGCACCTCTGGCTTGTACCCCAGTTCTGTATGCATAAATAAATAAATGTTTAAAACAAAATTATCATTGTTAATCTGATAGGCCAGGAAAAAAAATTTGCATATTTTAGTATCTATAAAAATCACTCTGTATATATTAGTTTATACTTAACTCCTGGCTTTTTGGTCTTAGATTACTTAGATTTATAATATTCTGACCTACTGTCCAAGTATTTTTCAAATATGTCAATATCATTTCATTTGCAATTCATGTGAACATAAGGTACAAATATAACTTGATTTTTTTCACCCTCAAATAACCATTTGTACCAAAAGCAGGTATTTAATAAGATAGCCTCTGTTCTTGCTGCCCTTCTGTTCTAGTCTGGGTTTTATCTATTCTATGTTACTAGTCTAGTGAACTCTTTCTCCTGAATCAATTTAAAGTTATGACTTTTTCTTATCACGCTACTCACCCTCCTTCGTTCTTTTGTACATAAAAAATGTTCTCAGCTATCTTGTCTTTTCTTCACTTGTAAGATGCTATTTGTTTTTAATTCATTGATATGTTTTAAATTCATTAGAAATGACTAAATATTTTGAGTGCCAAGGTGACTAAGCCTAATAATTACAACAGTTTATATCCTTGTCCTCTTTTATCTTGAATAAAAAGAAAGCTTGTTAGCAATCAACTCCAATGGGGCACAAAACTGCTGTAATTAAGCACAAAAGTGTTGCTAAAGAAAATAATTTTTAAACCAGTAATTTTAAAACAAATTCTGAAATTCATTCATCTAAACTAAAAGCGCACTTTCATGCATCCTAAGTGAATTAATTTCATTAGAGTCAAGACTCAAAAGTTATTTCAAAGTGCAAATTAAATATACATATATACCTGTCTCACTAACTGTTCTCCTTCTAGATGAGGTAGATGGTCTAGAAACCAAATCTGAAGATGACGGTTTCTCTTCCTGTAGCTCTTGCACAAGTTCCTAAACAGTAAGGGGGGAAAAAAACCCACAAACTTAACACCAGGGAGATAAAAAAAAAAACAAAACCTTTGTTTAAATACCCTTTCCAATTTTCAAGAAGTATCATTCACGGAATGAGTTTGCGTTTATTTCAAAGCGATACCTTTTGATCACTTCCACCTTCAAGATGACACCTGTTTTCACTCATAGCTGTGCCAGAATCTGATGATTCTGATGGGAAACAAAAACATGAATATTCAACAGGTTAATATGTGTGAAGTGCTTTAAGAAGCTTAGCATATTGGAGCCAACACCTAGTAGTATTCAAAAGCAGACTGTATACATCTCTTCCCAACGCCATACTTATAAAGCCTGAAAATGGTCATACCAGGAGCTATTTACATGACTGACATTAATAACCACTACAAACCCGAGCTTTTCCCCTAAAGAGTGGGTTGTTAAACATTTACTAGCTTACCACTGCATGTTTATGTGTATCTTTTTGGAAGAACTCAATGTTTTCATCATATTATCAAATGGATATGTGACCCCAAATACCCAGCTGAGAACTACACATTTAGTTAGGGAAGTAAAATACCACTTACTCACATATTGGTAAACAAAGTTTGTCTATTATCCATCCTTTCAAATGATCCTACCTAACTCAAATGACCTTAGTTTCTAAAGCTTTTTAGTACATATTTCAAAGTGTGATAATACCCGTAATATGCAATACCTTTCAAAACAAATTCTTAACTCTCATGTACCAGGGCTTAAATTGATGTGTAACAGTATTTAAATTACATCATCACAAATCTACATTAGAACTTTAGTACTGTTATTTTAGTTGATACGTATTTCTTCCTCTTAAATTTGTCACTCGTTCACTGTAATCACAGCAACTTTTAAAATTTCAGAATGACTGCATATAAACAAAACAGCCTTAAAATATTTTTATTATATTTATGGTATTCAAAATTTACTTACCCTGCTGATTGACAACTATCAAGTTTCTGTAGATCATTGTATATATTTTCCTGGTAGGGAGGGGGGAAAAAACTGATATACATTTCAAAAAGATATTAAACTGACTTTCAAATGCTTATAAGTATGAACTACTGCACATAAACTAAATTTTAAATTATTGCATTCAATTTATGTCACTGGCAAGTTTCTAGGAGGTAAAAAGCACCAACACAATGATTACATACAACTATTTTAATAAACACCACGGGGGCTTCCCTGGTGGCACAAGGGGTTGAGTGTCAGCATTATGAAGCTTTCACAGCCACTGTGGCATGAATTCAATCCCTGGCCAGGGATTTAATAAACAAACACAAACACCAAGGGTTCTCTTAGCTGAGATGTCCATCTCTATTTCCCAGAATGCGCCTTGTTTGTAGTTTACAAAAACACTCCAGTGAGTGAGTATGAATGCAGGGTGCAGATTAGTATCAAGCAGAAATTTTTCTAGTTCTGTGCTAAAAAAAAAAAAAAATCATCATGCAGTAGATTTTCTTTCTTAATCTTAAAAATTAGAAAGTTGGGCACCTCCCTGGTGGCGCAACCAGTTAGAGCGCAGCACTGCAAGCAAGCTGCAGCCACCTTAGGGTGAGTTCAATCCCCAGCCAGGGAGGTAGCCCACATGCCCCAATAGACTCTCCTAACCCACCCCGCTGCTCCCCTCAGCAGTGTACTTTGTCCATCAGCCTGTTCTGCTCCCCACTCTGTCTCTGGTGAATCCTCTCATTGCCCCTGAACCTCTGGCCTATAACCCAGTTCTGTATGTATAAATAAATCTTTTAAAAAAAAAAAAAAGAAGAAAGCTATTTTTGTCCAGTCAGTAAATAGACTGAAAACCTACTAACTGCCATCACTGTCCTAGAACCTAGGGGAAAAAAAATGAAAGACAGATCTCTGCTCTCATGGAGCTTATACCCTAACAAAAAGACAATTCATTTATTCCAATATTTATTTCAATATCAGGAACTATACTTCTAAACATTACCAGAGAAGTCAATACTCAAATGATGCAAGATGACCAATATAATTATTTCTTAAGTTTACAAAAGTAGAGCTTATATCTCAAAGTTGGAAGTGGAACCTCCCTGGTAGCACAAGGGTTAACGTCTCAGTGCTATCAAGTTATCACCAGGCAGTGCAGCATGAGTTTGATCCCCCTACCAGGGAGATCAGCAGACCTCCTGACTCTCCTGCGTTCCCTGCAGCAATGTTCTTAGTAATCTACCTGTTCTGCTCCTTACTCTGTCTCTGGTGAATCTTCTTCACCTCCCACACCTCTGGCCTTCATCTCAGTTCTTGTATGCATAAATAAACAAATCTTTAAAAGAAAAAGGACTGGTGACTACATTTCTTTTTTACCAGAAATTTATTTATTTAAGCGCCATCATGGTATCTAAAAGTGGAAATCTCCAAAGTATCTAAAGCTCAAATTTAAGCCTTTACCACATGGTGGTATAAAGACTCCTTTGAAAGTGAATACAGTCATAGTATTTTTTAATATGCGGTAACTGTATCTAATATATGAATGCTTTCTCAAAGCCAAACACTAAGCTCTTCATACACCGTGTCATTATAACCTCCAATCAGAGATTTATATTATTCCTAGTTTACAAACTGAGGAAACTAAGGTTTTAAATGTGTAAGTTAAGTCACACAACTCGTAAATGACTAAAGTAGGTCTCAAAGTCAGGTTTACAAGATTTCATAGCTTAAGTTCTCAAGCAATATACTATATTGCTACCCAGGCTTTTTATAATGGCCTAAAGAACTTACCTGTGTTCTTTCACAGAGAAGCTTGATACTCCAAACAAATCTCCTAGAAGATCATTTGAACAATACACAATATGCTGCTGCTTCTCATCATATAATCTTTTAGCCATAATATACTGCCCAAGGTAAAATATAACCTGAAACAGAAGTATGATTTCTGATCATTAACGAAAATAAGGTTAGTTTCAAATACATTCAGTTATCTCACCTATATACCAAAGAGGGTTAAAGAGCCAGCAACTACATCCATGACCATCTTTTATTTTGATTGAAGTAAAGACACTGCTTCTCCAATTGAAAAAAAAATTTAAATGTCTTTTTTGGGGGAAGCTTTGACTCTTTTAAATATTGAGATACTACATACTAGAAAGAAAAGGCAGCAAAATGCAAAACCAATGATAGCAATAAAAAGCAGCAGAATCACAAGTGGTGCTGGGAAAACTGGGAAGCTACATGCAAAAAAATGAAACTAGATCACTGCCTCACTCCAGTCACAAAAATCAACTCGAAGTGGATTAAA